TTGGTCACAATTTATTGCACGCAGGCTATATTTTGTGTATCTTTAATATTGTTGACACCGATGTTTGATTCGGTTGCGTCAAGACATAGCCTACTATGTTTACCACTTTACTCGGTTTGTTGATTTGTTCGCCTCACCAAGTTCCCCTAACATTTCTTGCCATTACTGACACCTATTTATTGTATTTATTTTACCTGTTTTATTATTGACTACCGATAATAAAAGAAAAAAATATTGTTCATATCGCTTCACCTCTGTCACGACCATTCATACGGACTGTATATATACCTCCGCCTTAATGTCAAAGTAGTACGCGGCAGCGTTGTATTTATCTTCCAGTAATATTAATTACAAGGCTGTTGTATCTTACTGTACCCTAATGCCAGGTCTAGCAAACGTAGTACGGCGTCCTGAAATAAACCTCTTATAACATGACAGCTATACGCAGCTAAGCTATTCCTTCCAAATAATAACTTGTGCGCACAAGACAAATATTTATAAATTTATTTATACTTTTATGAGTATTTTTTCTTTTTCAGTAGACAGTCAGTCTTAGCTTAAGTGACCAATTTAAAGCTAAATTTGGAGAGAAAAAAATCACCGGTCGAATGCTACCGTTGTTGCTTGTTCTACCCACTTTTTTCTTTCGACAAAGCTAAACACCCTCCCACTGACAAATCCAAGCTGTGCGTGGAGATCATGTGATATCTGGTACTGCCTCCATGGCGTGTTTGCATAACGTCACGTCCGGACTCAATTGTGGAGCTCACGTGTTTCCGTCCCTGTAGTGGAGATCCTCCAGGTGGAGGTCTGCACTCTGCAGCCAGATGCTCTTGCAACAATCAGAAACAGCCGATCACATGGGGATCCCACATGAGGTTAACGAGGGGGCGTGGCACACGGAAGGAGCAGACAATCGGGGCAGGACAGGGGTAATGTTGGGATAAGATGTTTATTGTTTTGGAAGCCATTAAGAAAAAAATGCTCTTGTTTTATCGTGTTCATTTTGTGTTTAAATGCTAAAAAAAACATATTTAGGTATCATTTTGGGGGTGGCCGGGAACCAATTAATTAGTTTTCCATTATTTATTATGGGAAAGATTCGATCAGAACTCGAACTTTTTAGGATTCGATCCGGAGTCCGGAACGGATTAAGTTCGAGAACGGAGGTACCACTGTACTTTATTATAAATATTATAGTGTGTGTGTGTGTGCATGTGCCCGCGCCTGTTTGCTAGCCTGGCGCCGCTGAGTCACGTGACAGCCGGGAGCGGCATTTGGGAGCAGCAGCGTGAACACAGACAGCCGCAGTGCATTCGGGAGAGAGATTTAAACTTAAGTATCGATCTCATTAAACTGGTATCGATCAATACCAACATTATTATCGATATTATCGATACTTGGATCGATCCGCCCACCACTACCACTAACTCTTTAATATGACTGCAAGATGGAGCATTGTCTTTATTTAATAAGTAATCCCCATCGGTTGTGTAGTGAAACTCATTTAGACGTAGGAACATTTTTAAACATAAATCTACATTAATGTGTCGCATTTGAACTTCCATGGCTTCACGACATAAGGTTACAGTTTTACAACACAGTTACGACTGATGACTGCTTTAAAGCGTCTTACATGACAACGGCTTCCTTTGACTCTTATTACAGTAATTTATTCAACAATTGACCAAACCCTTAAATCTCACAAAGACATACCTTCGCTATTAGCTTGGGGATAAATGTACTGTATAGTTTTTGCACTTTAAGACGATCTGATATCGAAAATAGCCGCTGTAGTCGCACATAGAAACTGTAATGCGTCTTTAACAAGCTGTGCGCGCTCCCGCGGATGGCAATCAATTTCTGGCAGACAGTCACTTTTTCGCGCAACACCTGGCTAGTTCTCGCTTGGTGCCTTCTCAGAATCTGCCACGTTTCCACAGGTTTAAAAAAACTCGCCACCTCAGTGCACTAGGTTTTTGAAGTACTGTGAGAATTGCGGGCGCGCATTTCCTCCTTTTCATATTGCACTCACATTTCCTCCTTTTGACAGTGGTCTCACATAAAGCTGTCGCAGAGATGGAGCGCAGACTCTGGCATTTGGTGGGCCTCGTCCTCGTAGGCGTTCTTCTCAGCACCCAGGCCTCCCGAGGTGAGAATGGCTGCTCACAACCCTGGTGAGGTTGGAAAATGTGTTGTTACGCCGAAGGTTGAATGATAACATTAAGATGTTTCCATAAATATGCGAGAAAGTATTTAGTACTGGCATTATCTCTTTCAAAATCTCATAACTCATACAGACATTTGTTGAATTTTGATGTTTGTTTACTCTGGACTCCCTTGTTGCATAGTTAAGCACGACGAGGAAACTCCATCAGATATAGCTGTTTTGTCCTTGACTGAAGACCACAGGTCACTTTTTTCTGGTTGAGAACCATAATATCAGTAGCCTCATACTCAGCAGAAA